GATGAGTGTCTCCAACTCTCCAGAATATTTTTTAAAAGTGAAAGGACTTACCAAAAGGCGCACAAGCAAAGAAGTCAGCGCCACAGCCACGAAATGAGAATAAAATGTCGAGTGAAATCACGTTCGAGCCCTGCAGTTGTGCCAGATCCCTCCGAACGCCGAGATTAGAAACTAATTTCTTAGCTGTCAATTCTCACTGAACCGTTAGGTTTCGAGCACTCGGAGTAATATTCTCATGATCAAGGGAAGCGATGGTAGTTGATGCGAGTTTAAATATTGCTTCGGTTTATTATTCATAAACTTATTTAGAAGGCAAGATAGGGTAAAGAAGGTAAGTATCGAAATATCTTCACAAGAAGGGACTACGCTGAACCTAGCTGTGCGGAATGGATCGGAAAATAGCAGCGACAACCGTGCCAATAAAGCAGAAAAAAAATCCTGCAAGAATTGAAGTGTTCCCATGACGTTAGCAACGATCACGATGTTCCTTGCCTAAGCTCCTGCGACGTTAAAGCTAATAGCGTCCGATAACCGCTCCTCGAAACGGTGAGCTCTTCCGGGGCAATAAGAATAAAAAAAAAGTTGGTGCTCTGGGACTTTTGGTTGTTTAGAAAATTCTCTATTTTAGTTAAATTTTATTCGTTAACGCAGCTGAGACACGTGCGCGCCTTTGAGATATCGCTAGCCGAAGCTTTCGCAGCAAAGAGAGCAACAAAACGCGTCGATAGGACGAGTTTGCGACAAGGACAAGAAGAGGCGAAGAGTTAGCGAAGAGCGGAACGGAGGCACGATCGTCTTAAATATGTTTGAGGGAAGCGAGATGAGAAAGAGTGCGAAGGGAGAGATGGGGAGGAGATTGCAGAGGCCTGGCGACAGTCGTGGCTTAATAGGTGTGTCCCGATGAAGCCGAGCAGAAAATTAAGAGGAAACGGCGGCTCGACGGGCCGCTGCTTCGCTACAGCTTGTGTCGGTGGCGTCCGGGCCAAGCGTCCGTGGTCTAGTCGATATTCGCCAAGCCGACAGGTGCCAAAGCCTGTGTGCCTCCATATGCGTGTCGCCTTGCGAGGAACGTCAGCGCAGCGCGCGTGATCGCTCAGCCGGACTGCGAAGAACCGCTGCGTTGTTTGAGCGTAGGCTGGTGACGCACGCAGCGGCCTGTCGCCGTTCTGCACTTCGACGTTGCTCTCCCGTCGAGAGCGGATGATTGTATACTGGATGGAAAAAAAAAATAAAACACGTGAGGCGTTGAAGCGGTCTAAGGAAATAAAAAAAACTGCGATGTCTGTCTTATGCTCTACTGGTCAAGTAACGCTCAACTGGTCAGGGTTCTGGGAAGGTTATGAAGGCCAGCCCACGGCGTATTTCCTCCCCAAACTCACTGTGTTCCTTTACTCCTGTTCACTACTTCATAGCGTTCGGCTTGCCCCGCGTCCGTTCGCCGTGTGCATCTCCGATGCGTTGATTGGCCTCTTCGAGCGATGCTGGTATGTTGGTGGGCCGGGGATCTGCGCACTAATTGGCCCTGCTCTCGCCTCATCTCAACTTCCGCGAGACCGATGAGCTTACGGGATTTGCTAAGCTTCCCCGACTTTGCAGACGGGAAGGAAAGTTCTTGTAGAGCATAAGCGAGGTATGGGGAGTGTACTGGACAAGACTGCGTCCTAGGCATTTGCTGCCCCCGGGAAGGACTTAAGGAATGGCTTTATGCCTGTTCGCTTAGTGCCAGGAGTTTTCGAGGAAGTGGAAGAGCTGCGGGGAAGTTATCGGCGAAGTGAAAAGAAAGGTCGCTTACCGAATTATTTCCGAGTGCACGGACATCGAAGAACAGAGCGCAAAACGTGCGTGAGATTAGCTCACCAATTTAGCAGAGAAGTTGGCAGAATGTCGAAAAAGACTGGAAATCTCACAGACTTTCGTTTCGTAATCGCGATAAGCTTCAGTGCCTCACCGGCGAGTCGTTCTATTTAAAAGGTGTGACGTGAGAGATTGAAATACATCATGATGTCATAATACTAGAAAGAAGGGTGCGTTGATAACCTGATTAACATATGTCGACATATTCACTGATTAATCGACTCACTAAAACTCAGAGCGCACTGACGCCCGGTACGTCCTTTCCGACTCAAAAACTGAAATTCTAAAGTTTGCGTGAGGCCGAGTCCATGAGAACACTTTCGGCATACTCAGCTCGTCCCGCCATGTGGAGCTGATTTGGGTGCCTGCTCACTCTGGAAATCCCGGCAACGAAGCCGCCAACGACCACGCCCGAGGTCTCATCAAGCGGGTGGCGGCGGACTCCCGAGTCGGGCCCTTCCAGGGAGCGCATGCATTCCTTCAGCGAGATGACAAGCATACCGAGCAGAACGCCAGCTATACCCTCCACCCCACCGATCCCTGGACAATTTTCAAGAGATATTATGGCATCGCCTAATATCTGGAGGCACACTTCCCTCCCCCTATTTCCTTTCCCGCATCTACAGAGGAGCATACTCCCCATCCTGTGCTCAATGCGCTTCCCCCCCCCCTCACACACTTCCTTTACCCACATCCTCCTCAAATACCAGGCAGACCCTCCCCCGCTGGGACCACAGCCACTCACTACGAGGGAGGAATGGGAGACCCTGCTGCGCTCGACGGACCCGAACATGCAGAAGACCACCACTGACCTCCGCCCACGTCATGCAACTGCATGAACTCATGAACGCATAGCGCAGTTGGGGTCATGCGGGGACCCTGAGCGATACGGGCCCGAATCCCTTGGTCAAATGAAATTTTTACCACCACCACAGTGCCCTGTGACTCTGAGCCTGAGAGAGTCCGGTTAAGCAAAAGTTTCGTGCGTTTAAGTCTAAGTGAGTCTGGCTGAAAAAAGTATCATCGAACCTGAATTGTAGTGAGGCCTAAGTGCGAAATATAATTCTTGAGTTAAAACAATTGATCTCTGCTTTTCATTACCGACATATATGTCCCTATGGGCATTTTCAGTATTAGTATCAGCCATCTATCAGCTGAAGATTATAGTCAAGTATATTAACTCATATGGCAACTCACTCGCGTTAATGCGCCGACTCAATATTTTTTTTATCGGCAGAGTGAACTAGGAGGTGAGGGGAGATGCCATGACTTGGCCCGCAAATTCTTGCACGGGAGAAGGACAGACGAGAAGGAGGAGGTGGAGGAGGAGGAGGAGGAGGAAAAAGGAAATGCACAAAGCTCAACCACACGCGCGTTCGGTTTGCTATTCTACACTGGGACAAGGGGAATGACGAATTTAAAGGTTAGGAGATAGAAGGAAGGGAACATACGAAAAGATACACCTGAGCTTAGAGTACACGGCGGTGTTCGACAGTAGCGGACGCAAGTTATTGATAAAACTCAATAATGCGACTGACACATTTCATATTATTGTCGTTATAAGATTGCAACAATTAGTATTCGAAGGTATTTGATAAAGAGGTGTGTCGTAAAGCTCTGATTATGCGAGATTTTGGTATTGAAGAGCTTCTTTGAACCCATGATCGAAAAAGCTAATTTTGCGCTCGCGTGCTCGTGAGTCGATTCACTCGTGCTCACTCGTACTCAAGTGAAGCCGTGAGTCTGAATCTGAGTGAGTGCAGCTTAGTACCAAATATGTCCGTGAGTTTTAGTCCTAGGGAGTCTTGCAAGTTTTTAGTAGTCGGAGTCCGAGTGAGACCTCAGAACAGATTATATTGAGTGGGTGAGCGTGAGTGAAGTCCTTTTCTTTTTTTGGCCGAACTAGGCTAATTAGTACCGAACGTTTTGACAGACATGAGCTCCAATTAGGCGGGTGACGTTCGCGCGATTAGCGTTTCCTCTACCCTTCAGCTGAGAAGTCATAAGTCGTCATTTCTTTGGTATGTGTACTTTCATTAGAAGCTTGTTGTAGGTGGGATTGCAGATAAACTTTTTAATGCCACCTGACGGTATCGTTGTAAGCAGGGCGTGCGTCATGTCTAGGCCGCACCTCTTGCTCGCTAGTTCATGAGCCATAGTGACCAGCGTATGAGAAACTCAATGAGAACCCTCAAGTACTCCGATTATTGCTGGCTAGGGCACTCTAGAGAAACCTGCCAATCAAACATGAGAAAAAAATGGACTCTCGTTTTACGCCGTAAGGCAGATTGCACCATCCAATGCTCGTGTTGTGACATCTAAATTTTAGAAAAAGCGCACAGTACGCTATACAGTTGCCTAAACGATTCTATGCCGAAAGCCATTGAAGCTCTGCGAAACACGGTGAAGAACATGGAGCGTTTTATTTTGGCTAAATCTACGCCAGCTCGCTAACCATTATGTCGCTAAACCTACGCCATCGTTCGAACTGGGAAGTGTGCCACACCATCTTTATCTTCACAGACGACTTTGTTGACCCCCCTTCCCTTCCTCTTGCCTAAGGAAAAAAGAAGAATATTTCTGTGCCCAGCGTGGTTTGGCACTGCCTCTCGATTAAACGCATTAGAAGCTCTGTGCACCTGACATGGCCCTGCAGGGCCTCCGGGATTAGCCCATCTTTCACCGAATGATGACTTCATGAGATGGCATGATGCCACGAGAGCATCATGACGACATCATTTTGGTATAACAAATTTTTGACAACTATGACGTCACAATGATATCATGTGGAGATGCCATCGCAATGATGATGATTTGTGCACCACTCGTGTTCACTCCCATGATCACTTTTCGCGTTTGATGAGCGATCAAAAGTATTCGCCTTAAAAATCCACGCGACAAAGCGTGAAGAAAGTTTTCTCTTATCAAAATATATAGAATGAAGTCTTGAGTGTCTGCGCGCTTGGTGTTATTGTTTATCTTGTCGCCAAATTTGACCTTTTCAAAATTGCGCTCTATATCTATTTCTGCAGTGCCCGAGCTAACCTAACTATTTATTATAAGTATACAAGAAAGGGCGTGCTTTTCACTGTACTGCACGCGTAGAATACCCAATCTCACATTGTTTACTCTCCATCTCGTTGCAGTGGTGCCCACAGCGCCAGCCATGGTGCGTTCAGTGAGTGTCGCAATCCTCGTACTTGTGGCAGTGGTGCTGCTCGCCAGGGCTTCTTCCTCAGCACCCGCCAATTTTGAGACTGAGTCCTGGTATGTACCACTGTACGAATCTGACCTATTTTGCTGGTAACAATATTGAACAGATTCGTCTTTATCGATGTTCACATGGCCAGTTGCAGTCGCGTCATTAGTCCAAGGAAAGCAGCAGCCGCAATCTGCAGTGCAGGTGCTAACTTTGTTCAAGCGTCATGCTTGAGTTCAGCTTAAAGTGAATATCCGATGCACACTCAGAATTTATGCTTATAGGGGCTCTTTGCCACGTGCCAATTTGCAAATTTTTACAAATTAAAGTAAGCGCAATGTTAGGAATGACTCATGTTGTGGGCTTACCTAATAGTGAACTTACAGTGAATTATCAAGTACATGTCGAAGGCTGTCACCCACTTTCGTCATTTCTCTAGCTGAGAGTAAAAGTCACTGAAACCATGTATGAATGCGGGATGACATATCTGAATGAGTTTAGTTCTAGTGCATTGACCTTAGTTCTAGTGCCTTCTATCACTAGAGCTAACATTTTTAAGTATTATTTTCTAACGTATAATGACAGATCGGAACTACTTTCCTTGTGAACATCACTTCAATATTTACGCTGTTGAACAATTAATGTGCTGAGAGTCTTGGCTATTTTCGGTTTGCTTTTTCTTTCTAGTTTTTTTCCTCTTTTTGTCCCACTCTTTCTTGTTCTTAACTTGTATGTTCTATGTTTGTATGCCGACATTTGTATTGCTCCTCTTAATTCTTTGTATACACACAAGGTTGCTTCCTTTTTTACTATATTTTGTGTTTTATATTTTCCAAGTTTTCCTGCTTCAGCCCTTACTTGGGCCGGCAGTATGTCATAAAAAACTACAAAGCTATATTTGTGGCATTGTCATCAAAGGGCAAACCTAAATCACATAATGTCGGCCCGTTGCAGAGCCAATGGGCAAAATAGAAAATACCTTAACGCAGAGCAGTGGGAGACCACACTGCTAAGCCTGGATCTCGAAGTGCAACTTCAAGAGCTATGGCAAGCCAAGGATGCCGCCACAGCACAGGGGCTCATGGCTGCCACATAGGCAAAGGAGCCCATACTTCCCAATAATGCAGTTTTAACAACAGTTACTTTCTTCTTCTTACAACTATGTACCACTACGTAGCCATGTTGACAGGGTGCACGTTACCACAGAGTGAGAATGCGGGGTGTATCTGAGATCTGCTAATGTTTTTGTTTTACTTTTAGTCAACAATCAATGCCGGAGGATGAGAGGATGAGGCCGAGGGCTCCTTTCGCACACGCTGAAGGCCGGTAGTGTTCAAAGTGCCTTTATATGTCCTTGAAGTCAGGTGACCCCAAATACCTTTATGACGACAGGCATCACCAGAACACTTTTGAGAGAGCTGTTAATTCAGGCGCTTGATAGCTGTAGCTTAGTGAACGTAATGTCTCTCTTAAAGAGATGCTGACCCTCATTTCGAAGTAGTCGTCGACCGAACATCAATAATATTGTAGTCCATTGTCTGAAGAGTCCATCACCACAAAAAGAGTTTTGGAATCCGTCAATAACGGGAGGAGGTAGAGAGATATGTCGCACGCTTTAAGCATGCTATTTCTCTCTTGTTTAGCCCCGCAGGATGTGCTGGTAGTTAGAGAAAAGGAAAGGAGGGGGCAACAAAAGGGAAAGAAACTGTGTCATGCACCTCATGACCTTCAGATTGTGTCAAAAAACGTGATCACTCTCACCTGGTGAAATGTTTGGGTGTGCCGATGTCACTACTCCTGTAACTCGAAGGTTTCGAGCCGTTTTGGTGCCAGGGAAATGGTGCTCATCAGCTGAAACTCCGAAATCAAACGTTCCTTATTATCAACTCAAAGTACCGTATTAAATATGCACGATACCATTGTTCGCGTTAATTAGCACTCTCCCTCAGCCTTCGCCCAGGTGAGGCGCACCTTTCCCGCGCACACAGCAGTTCGTCGCGAACTGCTTGGGACGCGCCACGACTGCCACTTGACCCACAGCACATGCGAGCGGGCCACGCGCATCGCCATTGCGCAACAGCACGCGGTGCTATAACAGTGACCTGCAGATGAGTGTGGCTCTCACAAACTTTAGCCTGCTAAGGAACGTAAAGAAAGCCATGTGGCGGCATCCCACGGCGAGGAGCGTTATAGACCTAAACGCCCACCCTAGCTTATCGAAGCTGTCGGCCAATGACAACAATATGTTGTGTGTTAGATACATTACGACCTTTCGAAGAGCGTGACTTCAGGACTCTGCGTAGAGGACGTAGGAGCAACTAGGCGCTACGCTCGGGAACTCTACTTGCTGCTCGCTACTGCAATATTTGGCTGAACTGTTCACAGCAGCGTCTCTAAGCTCACCGTGTGTCCACTGTATTTAGTTGTCCACCTAGGAATAAGTGCGAGTGGGGCTCAGGACACCTTTATTCTGTCTGTCCTCTATTTCGAGTGAGCCCATGACGTATGCACGTCACCTGTAATTAAAGTTTTGTAGAAGGTCACTCTCAGGCATACAAAAACTATGTCAATCTCTTTCCGAACGGAAACCGAATGTAAGAAGAGCAGTTGATGAATCCAAAACTTCCTTTTTCTGCAGGGATAGGGATCGTCAAAACGCGGTGTATGACTCATCATTGACTCCCGATGAAGACTACCTTCTCAGCTTGCTAAGGAGTCGTTCCAGGTGAGATTTGCTTTTTCCCGCGCAAAATCCAATGTGGCGCTTGATACTCACGAAGGAGCATCAAGTTAGAAGTACGTATATTTTGAGAAGCATGAGGGCGAATCTAGTGCACTTAACCCATTTGCTTCGGTGGTCGTCAAAATAGGCTGGTAGGAAAGTTCTTTAACAAAAAATGTTTACGCTTACTTTCATTTTGGTTCCCATTTTCACCGTTATTAATGGTCTTAAACAAACAAGACATTAAAAGCTGCGTATGCTAACTCAAAGTGGGACTTTTTTATTGTCATGAAGTAAAGAGATGCTGGCGCACAAATAAGGCACCTGCTGAGTGGTCACACTTAGAACTATAAAACAGCGCTCTCCGATAAACATTCGCATGTATCCGTGTGAACTGCAAAGGTAGTAACAAGTTGTTTTATTTTTATTGTATTTGCTCTTAGAGAGCTATAGGATTCATATCACGTGGTCCACATAGACCGACTAATAAATGCAATAAGTGCTATCACTGAACACCTTCGTCAAGGACCACGATGGCCTCCCGAGTTTTTCTGCTATTAAGCCATCTGCGGCTCCTCGCTGTTCCCACGTGATGTTTGCTTCATTTGTGCAAGTTGGGGCCTTTTTTTCTCTTTTTCTGCAGCAACTTCGACGTGATGCCGAAGAGGTCCCGTGGCATGCTCGACTTCGGGATGACGCGAGGAGCGTCTGGCGCCAAGGCCGCCAAGGCTCGATTAGGGCTCAAGCTGGCCAACGATCCTTTCGGGCCCGGACGCTGAGACGCCCGTGCCGCCTCCTCCCGACCCCCGCTGCGGAAGACCGCATCTCACGCGAACATCCCGCCACCCCTTTACTTCGACTCCCAAAGCAACACTCGACCAAACGCCTGTTGATTCAGTGCCGTAGAAAGATGCTTTCATCTTTCGTTCTTCTTTTCTAGACTTTCCGAGCCTTTCTTCTTCTTGTAGTAGCTGCAGCTTCATGTATGCTTCGAAGAAAGCAGAAGAGCATCAGAATACTGTTCTAAGAAAGATTGCTGTACAGCACGCATTTCCGGTCGGCCCTTCTTGTACCGTTAGCTCTGAGTGTACACTGCTTCCGAGGCAGCTCTACGCTTCTGTGTGTTGCATTGTGATCATGCCGTTCTTTGGTGTCGCGTCGCAGCTTGCGTTGAGCAGAAGGCCAAATGTTTCGAGTGCATGCCCTGATCGGTACTGTATGTCTCATCGCTGCTCAAGGCAATCCCGGCTACTTCTCGCCGCAGCAGTAGCATCTTGAAAGATTATTGTTGTTATGTAGATAGCCACGTGTCGAAGCCGGACGTGAAATGAATAAAACATAATTTTAAGGTTGTACGCGCCAAGAAGGTTGCATGATTAGCAGGAGTACATTTGGATTAGTTTTGACCATCTAAAATAAATTTTTTAACATGCACGACGTGTGAAGCGTAAATTTGCAATAACATGACGCGATGACAGAGGTAGATGTCGGGAACAAATGTAAAAGAGGGGTACGCTACCGAATTTCTCGAAAACTGTGAAATAGAAATGTTCATTCAGACTAAGCTGTCTTTTTCTAAAACCAGTGTGTGGCCCTTTTGAGTGTCGTTTATATTAAAGCACGAGTTCTCAGTTTGCACACAATGACACAGTATTAGCAGTCGAGACCAGTATTGAATACAAAAGCTGTACTGACATGTTGTTCTTCTGCTCAATGTAAACATTACGTTCCTCTAGCAGTGTAAAAGGCTAATGTAACACAGGCCATCTTGAATTACTATACAGAAGTAAGCCTCTGTTCTAAGACCTTGTTGACATTGTAATAGTGTAAAGTGTTGGTATCGTTTTTACTAGCGCAAAACAAGACACTAGTTGAAGGCTTTGTGCAAGTCAAGATGTCGATCAAGTGTCAGGACAATGTTTAGGCCATTTGGAATGACCAATTCTTCTTCTCTGGTCAGTGACACACACTTGTGAGCTTTAAATTTTTGTAAGCGCTGTGAGAGAAAGAAATACGTGTTGTTGGATGCTTACAAATCTTTTAAACCAGCTCATATACAAATAAATATGTGCTGTTGTGTGTAACTTGTTACTGTTGAAGACGCGCAATGCAAATATTTTATTCGCGTTCAATGTACGTTGTTGGCAAGTGCAGTTCACGGAAGTAAGCGTACGCTTTGTGTATTGTTAGTGCAAGGGGTCCTCCTTGACAATGTCACGTTGACTACATGTGCACGAAGCAAATGATTCTGCGTCTACGGACACTTTGCAAGTCAGTCGACGAACATCGCAGAGTTTGTATCGATGTGCCAACATTCTGAAATGTAATAACGATGACACTGTTCTGTTTCTGTCGTTTTCATTTTAGAATCATATAGAAATAGATTTTGTTAATTGTAGGATTAGTGTAAAGGATATGAAGGCTAAACTTTCATCCGCTTGTTATCTGTTCAGACATAAGCTTGTAATTACTTCGTGAACCTCAGATTTAAACTATTGCTTAATATGTATCGAGTCGTTATGAGACAGTTTTGACTGATTTTATACTATTCTATGTAGCAAAACAATTACTTTTATGCCTTTTTACGCGCAAAGCTCCTGTAGTAATCAGCAATAAACGAATGGTCGAAATCATTCCTTCCCTACTGAAATCTCACTCATAACGTCCTCAATTCAATTCATTAAGACACGTCCGGCCGCTGTTTTGGACGTTTTTGCACTTCCATCGGTATTGAAGCCACCAACACATACATTCAATCTGCATTACAGATTCGTTTTGGACGCACCGCTTTCTCTTACTTACATCCACTGGGTGTTCTATTTCGTGTAACATTAAAGTCACGCGCCTTCCGAATAGCATAGCTTGCCCGTGTTCATATAGTTTTCATACAGTTCATTCGCCCCACTTATGGACACTCATTACACAAGATGTTTTCTTGTTTCAAAATTTCTCTCTCGAGCAAACCATACCGACCAGCACTATGCTCCACCGAGAACCATTAACACTGATGCCTAACCCGGCTGTTTTTCTTTTTTTTTCTCGTATGTGTTTGATAAGCTGCACAGTGAATAAATAGGGTAAACCGACGTTCAATATGCAGTGGAAAACTCCACACGACGCGTTGTTTTGCATTCCCATTTCACCCTTCCTTCTATTCATCTCGCCATTCCATTATTACAGGCTGTTTTTTTAGTTGCGTGCAGAAAACATACTGAAACTGATACACGTGTGGTTACAGTCGAACAAAATTTTTGTGGCGATGTTTATTCATGGAACGATGAGCTAAATTGAAATCGCCCTTCACTGCACGCTTGTTTGGGGACGCGTCCGTTCTTGAACGGCGTGGCGTCTGTTTCGAATGGTCTGCGTGGCCCTTCTGACGACGCGTTAAGGCTCCGACGTTGACGGGCTAAGTTTCGGGGACTTCACGACGGGCGCCTCTGGTGTTTTTCAGAAGTTCTCTGTGTGTACGTAGGCGTATAATTCGCTGCATGCTTATTTATAGACTCTGTCTCTGTACAGTCATTTGTGTCTCGTAGAAGCCCTGCGCACGCTTCCTCCGGATGCGTAATAAGCAGGAGTGTCGCCGCTGTAGTGAACTTGTCGATACAGTTTCAATAAAATATGCCTTTCATTTCTGTTCAGTGCGAAAACGACCTAATGATTTCTACAGAGGCGGTTTTCTCTGTATTTGCAAGCCGTGATGGGATGGATCTCATTTGCGGGAGCCCTTGCAGCCGCGAATGTTGTTCACTGTCGTGGCAAGACAAACATCGTTTCTACGGGGCTTAGATTCTTGTTTAGAGAAATAACATACGATCATTATCGATTAAAAACACACTCTAAAGACCACAAAAACCTCAAATCTATGTATTTTTATTTATTTATTTATTTTGTGGACAACACAATTGCATTGCCCGCGGTAAGGACGAAAGGAGGTGGTTCGCCTCCAGACGAGGTCCTGCTCACGCTGGACCACGTCAGGAGCAAAGCGTGAATTCAGCCAGGTAAGTAAAGAAGTGGCTCTCTGACCAAGAACTTTAAGGAAGTCTTGAGGGACTGCCGGAAAAGACCCACTGGGGCACCCGGCTGAAGAAGTGTAAGTGTAAGGGTTATACATAAACTGACTAACGCGGATTGACGCTGTCATGTTTAAACCTGCATATACACCCTATCAGGAGGACGAAGGGATGACTGCCGCCGTAGCTGAGTGCTACAGCATCGGAATGATTATTCGAAGCTTGTCGGTTCGGTTCTTGAAGGCGGCAAGTTACCTTTTCGTTCAATTTTCTGTCTTCACATAAACATTACCATTACTTCTAATGACGTCAGGTATATATTCCTTGGCATTATTGTCTGTTAGTTTTCATGCAGATTGCGGCTTCTGGTACAGACACCGATATACAAGTTTATAAAGCGAAGAGGTCGAAAGCATGAGTTTCTTGCAGCACCGAATGCTTCGTAGGAGCTACCTCCTCTGAGGAATGAGAATCGATACTTGAGCATGGATTAAAGTATAAAAATGATAATAAAGCTGCGTGTAGAAGGTGTTTCTTTTAAATTGAAACGCTAGGTTGAACTTGAGAGTATAAACAAGAGTCATTATAGGTGTGGTATTATTCTTGAATACGCGTAGTCCCAGTTTCTAACAAAGCTCAAAAAAGTAAGCCAGATATTTCTACCCTGAAGCGTAATTGAAACATTCATTCTTAAATGAAAAAACAA